GGTCCTTTTCCCGAGTCGACATCGGGCAACAAGTGGGTCGCCGTTGCTATAGACTATGCGACTAGGTATGCCATCACTCGAGCACTCCCCATTAGCACCGCTACTGACGTTGCGGACTTTTTTTCTCCACGATGTAATCCTACACCATGGTGCTCCTCGCCAATTACTCACGGATTGCGGCCACGCATTTTTGTCCAGAGTAATCAACGATCTTCTGTGCTCTTCCTCGACGCAGCACAAGTTGACAACTTTCTATCATCCCCAAACAAATGGCCTTACCGAACGAATAATCACACCCTCACGGACATGCTCGCGATGTATGTGTCCTCCGACCACCATGACTGTGACCTGGCGCTACCTCACGTGACCTTCGCGTACAATTCTTCGCCCCACCACACCACTGGTTATTCACCATTTTATTTACTCTATGGCCGTGATCTGACGTTACCACTCGACACCCTACTTCCAACCACTACAACGCTGTCGACCGAATATGCACCCGACGCTATTGCTCGTGCCGACCACGCACGTCAGATCATCCGCTCTAGACTTTCGGCATGGCAAGCCACCCAGAAAGCCATCTACGACAGCTGGCATGTTGACGTTCGCTTCTCACCCGGTTCTCTCGTTCTCCTGTGGTGCCCAGTTCGTCGAGTTGGTTTATAAGAGAAGTTGTCTCGCTACATGGGTCCTTAACGTATCGTCCGCCAGGTAACCGACGTCACCTATGAGATCATTCCTCCATCTAAGACCACAAGCCTGCCTGCAACCACACCCAGTGATGTTGTGCACGTGACCAGGCTTAGACCTTACCACCTGCCTACTGAAGACCATAATTAATATGCACCGAGACTGCGTTTTTATCGCCGGGGGGGGGGGGGGGGTAATGCTAAGTAGCTGACATATCAGCAGTCAGAAGCAAAGTGCGAAAGCACGCGGTTAGAACAAGATAGGCCTTTCAGAAACCATTATTTATTATCTTTCGCAAAACTGGCATGATAAAATGGGAGTCTTCACCGATATGATTTTGTGACAACGTTACTTATACTCAGGTTTGTGTGAAACAATCGAGCGCATGTTGACTCGTATGAGGAACAATGCTCTAGATATTGTAGAGACTGCCTACAAAACAAGTGTATGATTTAATCGCGATTTTGAGACTTCTCGTCTCTTTGTAGTTCACCAGTTGCCACTTACGATGTAGTGCAGCTCAAAGCGCTGCTTGAGTGAGAACCTAGGCGATACGTGCAAATTTCAATTGTACATGTTTTTTTTGTGTGTGTGTGGGTCGGCAGGCTCTTGAAACAGTGATTGTCTCGACGCAATTTCGGCGTGCCTGCATATTCACTCATGCACCATGGCGCGTAGCAGGCGTATATACACTGACAGAGGCTCCAAAACGCATTAGACGTGCTAAAGACGAGCAATTACACGCTTTCGCGGGCTACGGCGCACGCGCTCCCAATGCAGATGCTTTTGAGATCTTCAGTACCATGGGACTACAGCGCCGCCACTACTCTCACCCGCCGGAGAATCAGTTGAGATGCTGCGCGGCCGCCTCTTTCATTTCATTGCCCCCTTCTAGTACACTGTTGCGAGGGAGACCTCTCCGGGGACGACATGGGGGTAAGCACGCTTTTCTTTTCCATCCGTTGGCTCCCTTTGTTTGGGGCTTATTCGGACTTCGCCAACAGCGCTCACGGCGAATGCTTACCTTCTGTCGCCCCCCTTCCGAACGCTAGGCCGAAGAGCGATACGGTGTCCTAGTGCGTGGTCAAACTGCGCCAACTCGTATATCTCCTAAGCCGACGCGAGCGCCTTCGTTCGAGCAACCGGGCCTTTGTCCCGGTGTCTCCGTGAATCACTTTTACCACAGAGACGTGCTCGCGGCACCCTGTGTAGTTCTTCTCGCTCGTGGCATGGATAAGCCCATTTGCTTTCCCGCCGCTCCTTTGCAACGGGCTCTGTACTGCGTTTTTTGTCTTGCCACAGGCAATAAAGTGTTGCGTTCTTGAGCAGTATCGTGTTCTCGCCGCGGTGACGGTTAACGCGTGCCCTGCGGTTCGCTGAGACCAAACCCGCGCTAGTGGCCGTACTCCTTTGGGTCCGTATACACCACAAATATCCGAGAATTTTCTAATGGATGGGCTTTTAAAACACTGACTCGCTACTCAATTCAAATCTTTTTAAACCTGATGCAATTCTGCCATGCAGTATATGATGCATTAAGAAAGCTCTTTTCACTAGAGGACACTCACTGCATTAGTTGCGATTTGTCTGGACCCCAGGGCATGCCTCTCTCCCAGGTCATCACTGTGCACATGAAGCTACCCAAGCACTCCTTAACCGTGAACCAGAGGAAGAGCTATCCAACCCAAATGAGGAGGACACAAACTTGTAACTTCTCAGATATTGAGACACTCTTGATTACTATAGACAAGAATGCCTTTGGTACCCTCCACCACGCCACAAAGTAACCCGAGAGGATGCAACTCCAGTGTGTCAACCGCAGGCCAACACATTCTCCAACATGTATTTTCTCCAAATCCTCCATCCTACTTTTTACGCTTCCTACCCTGGCTGTGGAGCAGTCCCAATGATATTTCCCATAATGCTGGAATGCGAGCGTTCGTCTACCAGGTGCTCTTTCATCTCATATCCTATTTCAACTCTGCAACACTGGGAGGCCATGCTGTGCGACAGAAGCCCGAGTGGCCAGGGGCCGCTGGTCTGTCACGCAAGAGATGCGGCAGCGGCTGATGGAGTTCTTGACTGAGCCCCACCCGACATTTCTTGATGATTCAAATAAAAAGTTGAAAATCATTCTCTCTCTCTCTCTTGCAGTATTTTTTTCCAAAGCAGTTTCAACCAAAATTGTGGCTCTGTGATAGAACACCTGCTTGCCACGCATACGTCCTGTGTTCAATCCTTACTCAGATCCTAAAATTTTGAATATTTAATTTGCACTTTTCTCGATTTCTTGGTTGTGGACAAGATAATCTTTTGATTATAACCAACAATGTTGATGCCAGGATTTCAGCGAGACAAGCTCTTTAACACTAGTTCATTAAAAATAAGAGCCTGTCCTGTCGGGTAGCTCTCTGTCTTATCTTCATACAATGTAGTGCTCTAATAATTTTTGCAAGAATGTATCACCAAATAGCCCCTCAATGTGTTTTGTCAAAGCACCTTCTGGCGAGATGTATCTCAAAACATCCTTTTTTTCGCTAACATAATGCAAAGGAAAAAAAGTAAAGGAGGAAAAAAAGTTGCTTTAAACTGCAATCTCAAAGATGATTTTTTTTGTATTTTGTTCCATTATATTTTTGTATTTTTGTAAGGAGTGCAATTTGAACACATTTTTAATCATTTTTCTGCATTATACTTCGGGTAAAAATTGAACTACGTACTCATGTGTCTATTAACTTGTTCAGTTTACTTATAAATGCTGCCAGTTTTTCTGCCTTGGATTGCTGGATTGTTGGGCTAGTCAAGCTGCATTAATAGACACTTATAGTTTAGCATTGGCGTGGTAGCGGGGGTTAAGGGAATCAACCCTTGGCGTGGTAGGGGGGGTTATTGCATTATGAGCATTGGCATGGTAGTGGGGGTTATTGTGCTGCAAACATTCATTGCACACAACGCATTGTAGTTTGGCGAGTAGGATTGGGCTGGGATGCCATTAGCCATTCTGGGGTGGTGGCGTACCTAGTGGAGGGTGAATGCATGAAAAATAGTAAAAAAAATGCAACTGAGTATGCTTGCCTGTATCCCTCTATGTAGCAGTATATTACTATCTTCCTTTAGTAATAGTAAAGGTAAGTAAATGTTACGCATGCACAAAAAGCGAAAATATTTATCCTGCAGATTCATTTACACAGACCTTCTAATTAGGCTCAAAGACATTCTAAATGGTAAGCAATCTCAAAAATACGCTTAGTTATCTAAAATACTCAGTCGTCGAAGCTACCTGAAGGCAAGCAAAGTCATTTTGCACAGTGATTATACTCCATTTCATTTATCAGGTGCAATGCTATGGAGGCTAGCGAGACTTCTTGCAATGAATGCATTCGCACTGAGAAATATTACGATGATTTTTCCATCTGAGGCATGCTTTTATTTCATCTTTGGTCTTGATAATAAATAAACATGCTTTGGTAATCGGAGGTATAGACGACCCATTATACGGCCGTCTGTAAGTTGTTCTGCATCACTTAGCATCTCTTTGTTCTCACCTCTTGATGTTTTATTTGTTGCCTTTTGCGACGTTGTGTTAGCACGTTTGTGCTCGTCTCCCACGAGCGTCTACAACGATGAAAGCCAAACACGAGACACGCGTAGCCACACACCTTGCTGACCGAACTTCTGGAGTATAGCTATGAAAGAAGTGGATCTGTCCCCACCAATGCTAAATTACTTTTGAAGCGGGCGTCCAAAATCGCCACCATGTTTTACATGTGCTATGTAGGCCACGGAAACACAGTTTAATCAATGGCATAGAGCAGATGCATAGGCACACAAGGCTACACACAACTTAAGAAGAGCAAACAAAGGCCTAAGCAAGCTATCTATTGAAGTACATGCTTTCGTTATCGACTAGCACTATACAGGGACAGCTGATACAAGACTGTCTTTTTTTATTTTTGGAATGTAACACGCTTAATTTCCCAAGTCGTCTTATCATGATTTCTTTAATGAAAGAAAGAAGGGTACATTTCAGGACTCGTTTTCTTTGTTAGGCACATTAGTAATGAATTTAACAGACAATCATGCCAAGGAAATGATTGGGGATGTTATTAGAAGTAGTTGTAATGTAAATATGAAGAAAGAAAAATTAATGAAAAGATAACTTGCTATTGGCAGAAACCAAACCTTAAACCCCAAAATTAAACATTAAACCTCAACAATGATTGAAATGAATGAATATTGCTTTCACCAAGTTGCAGAACGCAAAATAAGTAAATGAAAAAATAAACAAATGTCATACCTCGGATTTGCAGATGGAGTGTTGGGTAGCGGTACGTTCCTATCAGGCTCGTCGCCCAGATGAGCTATCAGTGACGGCAGGTGAGCGATTTCGTGTCTGGCCCCAGCATCAGGTGCAGCCTGGCTGGCTGCTAGGCTGTAGCCTTCGCACTGGGGCTCAGGGCTACCTGCCGGCCGCCTATGCACGCCCCACAGGGGCTCTGGACGACAGTGGATACTCCGAACAAGGTGTGTCATTAGCATATTAACTTCTTTAAAGGGTCTATCACATGATTAGAAACACTTAAAAGAGACGTATTTTTCATTACGTCAGTGTGCAGTGTCGACGCTTTTATGTGTTCGGTGTTTTGCATCTGCCTGGGACACCTAGAGTTGTTCAAGGGTTGGTTTAATTTTATGACTTCAAGTGGTCTTCTTTGTTGCATGTGCGTAGCTGCTGAGTTTTGTGCACAATCTTAGAGCTACTCTGGTTATGTGCGAGATCCACAGGTCGCTGGGGCACTATCTGCTGGGGCCGTCTGCAGAGCTTCTCCTCATGTCAAGATGGCCACTGGAGTTCATATAAACCCTGCACTACAGAGAAGTGCGAAACGTTTTAGGTCTCTGTGCAATTTCATTTTCTTTTTATACCGTTTGTTGAAATACTAATAAATATACTTACATGCATATTTTCGAACACCACTCTATATGGAGACAGAGGTGGCTCAGGGAAAGAGGTGATGCCATACGAACTGGAAGTTCATTGGACATCTGATGTCCATAGGCATTGTCCACATTGTGGGTGTCCATTCTTTCTGAAACATCAGCAGGCTTTTCTGATCCGAAAAAAAAATATATATATATATATATATATATTGTAGAGAAGCCGCCGAACACTGAAGTGGGTCAAACTCTCAAGTGTTCTCTAGTGGGTCTACCCAAAAAGGATGCCGCTCGCACTGAGAGTCTGTGCTTGGCCGTTACTGTCGCCATTGGGTATACTCGCTGTGTGCCTGCTAATAAACGCCATAACAAATTGGTGGAGAATGAATGGAGTCATTCAGGTAACATCAAAGAAATCCCTAAGGTTGCATACCTCTAGATCTGTATAGTAGACAGACGGTTCAGATATACAATCATTACCTTAGTGTCTGGTAAAAGAATGCTTCTGCAAGCTCGTGTGCCCTTTTGTTTTTCTGTTTCAGCATATTAAGAGCGTTACTGGAAAAAAAAAAGGTTTGCACCCACCTTATCTCCAATGGTTCACTGGTGGGTCCCGTCTTGTTTTTGCGCTTTGTCTTGTTCATGCTGATTTTTTTTTTTTAAGACGGGGATCATTTCCAATTTGCTTACCTCTCCACGTACTCTATTCAGTTGTGTCCGGGAAACAAAAATTTAAAGAGGATTTTGCGGTCTGTGTTGTCACATGTATGTTGAAGCCTCAAATTATAATGCAAAATTTAAAACTGGAACTCTGGCTTTAAATTTCTCTAAGAATTATGGCAAAATAATGCTAGTAAAATATTGAATTATTGCTTACTTTGTAAGTCAGTTCAATGAAATAATTCTCGGAAAGTATTAGAATACCCCTACAAAAGATATGCTTTTGACGCTTCTTTCTTTGTAGAGACAATACAGGAATTGAACTGTCTCCCTGATGATGTCATCAGTGAAAGTGATAGGGAATTTTTTTTTTCCCCTGCAACAATGCCCGCAATATTTCTGTCAATAAGAAGGGTTTCTCACCAAGAAGCGTTGTGAAGTTTAAAATGTGCAATTGTGACGCTTATAGTTTGTCATATAATATAGTAATTAGAATGTTTTTTCTTATTTAAGCTTCTTGTGTGTTGTATCTACTGTATCATTTGCTAATATGGTTGTGTTAAAACCCAATTACATTTTCCTTTATGGTACGCCTTATGGCAATGTAAGTAAAATGTAAATAATATAATAGATAAACTGATTTTGTGCTTCACCTCGGTGTCCCTCAATAAGTTATTTTAGCCATAAAATAGCATGTGTCCCAAATGGACAAGTAGTGTAATTACTGAGCATAGACTAACAAGTTTTGTCATAGTGAGCCCTTTCAGCTTGTGGTTGGTATTTATGTTGGCTATTTTGCTGGTCTTGTCACCATGCTTAATGCTTACTCTCTTTTGTGATGAATCACCACCATTAACTAACTCAACTTCTGGTTGGTTTAATCTACTGTATTTACTCGAAAATAGGTGGGGTACGAATACGTATAGGTCAACCCTACTTATAGTGTTCCATGAGAAAAAAAAATAAATATAAGCCGGCCCATGTTTTTTTTTTTTTTAATTTAGAAACAGAAAATTGAAACATAGCATATCTTTATTTGAACAACTTAGCACCCTAATCGCTGCCGGGTCTGTAATCTTGTCAGATGTGCAAAATGTCTTCAACGGATTCTTTGCAAGCATCTGTGGCTTTCCAAAGGACGTCATCCTCACTGCCTTAGCTGCCGATTGCTGGGTCGCGAAAAGCACGGCGCCGTCCGATGCACGCAAACAGACGGTCCTGTTGCCTCTGCCAACCCCTAATCCACTTCTCATTTACACAGAACTCCCACTGCGCCTTTGATGTCACCTGTGTAACTCTGCAGATGTGACATTGTCGCAACTGGGCACAGGCAAATGATGGTGGTGGTTAGAAGAAGAAGAAGGTGGCTAATTTCTGCAGCCTTGCAGGTCTTAAACAGCCAACTGGAAGATTATCTTGCGCACATAGAAACGACTAATAGTCACGGATGCTTCAGTGATGGAAGAAAAGACAGGTGTAGAAATATACACCCGTTTACTTGGCTGCTCTTTTTCATTAAATTATCGGACTTCACTCCCGCTTTTGAAACAGAACTCTTGGCAATTATTCTAGTGCTGCAAAAATTACCTGTGAATGTCCATAATGCAATTATAATTACTGACTCTATGTCTATCTGTACATCGCTTACAGCATTGTCAAAATCAATGGCTTTAACGATGTTTCTTATGCTAGTCCCCCCACAGTTTAACCTTATAAAGTTAGTATGGGTACCTGATCATTGTGAATTAGAAATAAATGAAATTGCTGACTCTCTAGCACGAGCAGCAATAAATGGTCCAGTACTTTCGGTTCTTCCTGAAGTGGCCACATTAAGTGCAATAAGGTACAGAAAATTTTCGTTTTGTGCAGATGCCATGGAATCAGTAACGCCATGGACAGAGCTTAGTCATTTAAAATTCCTGTGGAAAATTCAGTGGTGTCCTGCCAAACAATCGGAAGTTGCATTAGTTATAAATTACATTGTCATGTCCCCCCATTAAATTTGTATTCATACAGGGCTCATCTGGTGATGTCTTCTCTGTGCAACTTTTGTTGAGAACCTGAGACAACAAAACATTATTTTTTATCATGCCACCATTACAGATTACTAAGAAATATACCTCTTGTTCTCTAAGCTGGGGCTAAATTTCTCAAGTGACAACATACTTGCCTTCGGTACTTCAACTTAGGGCTTCAGCCACATGAACGTTTTTGATGCCGTTTGTGCTTACCTTCACGAAACAAAACGAATGAGTAGGCTTGTGCGAATATGCAAATGCTTCAAATAGTAGAGTATTTGAATTCGCTTCAATTTGAGTTTAAATATTGAAAATTTTGAAGTGTTCGCTACAAACGAATAGATGCATATTAATCTGCATGTAGCCGCTTGTAAAGGTGGTTTCATTGTAGTGTAAAGGTGCTAAGCTGTGAACGCCACCTCTTCAGAGGAAATCCGCTTTGCCGCGAAGCCTCACTTCAAGTTCAAAGGGGCCTTGCAACACTTTTTATGGTCAGAAAGCGCTGCCAATCGGTGGTTGAGGCAACCGAGAACACGCGAGCTGAATATCTTAGCGCAGCGGGTCGCCTGCAATTTACAATAAATTGTAAAGTCAGCTAAACATTGCTCTCTTTCCTGGCCAATGACGTTACAAACTCAAATATCACTTCACACAGCCATTGTATCAGCCATTGCCTGATTGGTAGTGACTATGGCGACGGGGTTCATCAAGTCAATACTATAGTTAGAGTGAGGGGGCTCGTCAGCGTAAGTGTAATCGTGACTACAGTGACAGGGCCTGTCAGCGCAGTACTATCGTTAAAGTGAGGAAGCCTGTCATAATAGCGATGCATCTACAGCCAAGGTGTAAGGAGCTTCGCACCTAAAAATTTTCCAGTCACTTCAGTTAGAGCACAAACAGCAGCACTATGTCGAGACCAATCACTGTAGGTAGCGTTGTTAAAACGGGCCACCTCATATTTACATTATTACGGTGCTGTATTAATTGCCTTGATGTGGTGCTGCCTGTGCGCACGCTTTTAATGGTGGCAGTGATAACTTGCTACACTTGCAGTACTCCAGTGGATTTCGTGGTGTCTGCAGGACTCTGCAGCAGCTGCTAGTCAGCAAGCGGGGTCTGTCAGTGAGAACCTCGACTGAGCTGATCGTCCAGATTCTCGCTGGCCAGCGGCTCCTTTCATTGCTCGACTGTAAGATGCCACCTTTAAAATAGGCAACATTACTCGTAACAATATTGAAAGCAGAAAAAAAAATTTCAGTTGGTTTGCGTGACTCGGACTGAAGTCGCACTCTAACAACCCGTCATGTTGCACACCTACAACATACCCACTGCACCTCGAAAAATAAACGCGGTCGGGCTAACAACCAGCATGAACAGCGATGTGATTTTATTGCAAAAAAGCTAAATTATGACTACTTGAAAGCAGTGACGTCAATATTGATGCATTATCATAAAAAATAAAAAACGAGAGTTGAACTGACGACTTGCGGCACAACCGCATCCCCAACTGCGTGTCAACCCTCTGTGCTACCAAAATAGCTTTGCGGTGGCATCTAAAACGACTACAAGCTTACAGCAACACCCCCTCATTTTTACCATTACACTACCGTGACAAGCACCCTCACCGTTGTCATTGCTTTATGGTGATGGGGCCCGTCCCTATAGCTGCCTTGCTGTTATAATGGGCCCTGTCACTGTTACGACTTCATTACAGTGATTGGCCCCCTCACTTTAATGATAGTATTGCGCTGACAGGCCCTGTCACTGCAGTCACGATCACACTTACGCTGACGGGCTCGCATACTCTAACTATAGTGCCGAGCTGACGAGCCCCGTCACCATAGGCACTGCCTGACTGATTTCAGCATGGCGCGCTCGGTCATTACTGGGGCCACCGCAGGAGGCTGC